ATTATTGTCTGCTGCAAACTGCTGCGACGTCCCCATACCTGTTTTTCAGTTTTTTTTCGCTTATCCTCCGTACGATATGCGATCGCATGTTTACGCAGGCGTACGGGTCACCGATAATCCAAATAGATAAAAGACATTTCGAGGGGGACTGAGTATAATGTATATATAGGGTACCCCAGTTACATACTATACTGCTGCTGAACTGCAGACGCGAATGGTCTGTCGGGTCGCCGAGACGAATACGACGCCGCGGCCGAAATCCGCTATTATTATTATTTCGTTATTGTTATTATATATTATTGTACATGCCTCTATACATACCGGAGCGTTATCATACGGTGGTAAGATGAGACACACAGCGTACACACTCTTCACGAACAACAAATATTATATACTTATACATAATGTAATATATAGGTACACATGGGAACTCGTATTGTTCGCGGGTGGAGCTCATCGCCAAAGTTATGACGTTCGTTTTTATTGTGCGTGAACTAAATCCCCTGTAATGTCTTGTGCTGTTGTTTTTTTTTTTTTCATACGACTCGAACAAAATAAAAACGTATAATATGCGGATCGTGTGTGCGTCGCCGTTTTTCTTTATTCATTCGCCCACTGTCGTCGGAACGGTTGCAGAACGTTTGCATTTTTAGAATTGCGCACAAGACTATATAATATACGAGATGGTGCAATACATATGTATAGTGTTGTGTATTATGTAAAAAAAATAACAATATATACTATCTATAATATTATAAGATAAATAAACACGTGGTTTATTACAGGCGTCGGCATAAATTTCACTTTGATTCGGCCGCGCGATCGCGCCACCACACACGAGCATTCTTTCGACCGCGTAATTATTTTTGTGGACGTTGCAACCGATGCTGGCACATGCCGTTTCGTTGCCGTTGTTGTCATCGAATATTTGCCGACTTAGTCGGTTTTCGATTGAGTTTTTTTTATTATTATCATCATCAAACGACGAGAGACGAACCGTCCGTCGCCGCTGCTACACACGTGTATCGGATCGCAGGACCAAGCGATAATACAATATTATTATGTAACGAGACTATTGAGACTCGCTAAACTCGTCGGATTCGCTCATATGGCAATAATAATAATATTATAGGTGCGTATCGTTGGAACGATATTATAGCATAATAATGATCACGGCCGAATTATGACGAGACTTGAAAATAATCCTCGTCGAGGATTCCGTTGAACGCACGTCGTTTCCGGTCGGATATCTTTCGCCATTTTGTATGCATAGATAAAGCCGGTGGGTAGGTATCTACTTTTCCTGCGATACAATACCTCTAAATAATACCGCAGAGTGCTGCCTATACACATAGGTATTATGGAGGAGTAGTGAAAAAACCTCAACGCCCCAGCAATAATGCGATTTGCCGCCGCCGGAGATTTACACAAAAGTGTTTTTGTTTTCCGTAATAATATTGTATTTACACAGAGCCGCCGAGTAGTAGTTTTGTCTCATCGTCAAGAACACCTAACCGCGACAAAGATTTACGAGACCGATGAACCCGGCCCGTCGATTGGCGATTATTAAAATTAGACCCAGTTGATTAAAAACATAATATTATTATCCGTTTAGCAAAACGTACTTAATTATCGTTGTTTTCAATATAATAATATTTTGAAAATAATAATAATAATAATAAAATATCGGTTGCTGCTGCCCGTATTGACGGAGGCACACCGGTTTCATTATCGTTATTATTATTATTATTATACATTTTTTTTTACTTTACCATAAAAGTCCCGAAGCATAAAAACATATATACAGTCTGTATAGGTACGCTGCAGTGGACGTGGTTCGTCGGTAAAACGAGTTCTTCCGATAATTAGCTCTGGCTTATTTTTCCTTTCATAAATATTAATAGAAAATTATACGTAGGTATAATATACACAGGTAACTGCATTTTTTTTCGCCTTTTGCGCTCCAGACCAAGACGGTTGTAGTCGTCGTCGCCGTTGTTGTTGTTGGGTACTCATTATTATCGTAATAATAATTAATAATATATTCATACTTGCCATGCGTGCATTCAATCAATGAGTAATGTGTATAATAATATAATATTATTTTCTCCACGAAAATCGCACACGCCAAACGCCTCGGCGCGCGTGACCCTGCGCGGTGTATAGTTTCCACCTGTGTATAATTTATACGCGACGTATTATATTCTCTTGAATAGGATTAATATTTTTCGTCCTATCTCTCATGCGTGCGAGCGTGTGATTTTTCGCTAAAAAAAAAATTGCCAGCCGAGTGCCGAAAATCCCTCACGGATCGCGTGTCATTATATACAACGTATCAACGCGCCTCGTGACCGTTTCGATAATCCGCCCGGATTGATATTATAAATTATAATATATATATTATTATTGTTATTATTATTATAATACCTATACCTCCTCATATGATATAATGATAATAATATATAGGATACACTCGCGCTGAATAATATTAATATATTGTTCGATGACAATTTATTCTCGTTAAAAAAATGTATGTGAAAAATAAAAAAACAAGACAACTAGCACAATATTTTGAAACGGGGTCGTACATTTTGCGTTTCCACAGACAATATTATACGTGCGCAGTATAAGCTGCACTATGACACGCTTGCATTATATAGGTATTATCGGTCGTATGTTCCTATACATATAATAATACACGCTCGCATTTAATTTATTGTAATATTATTATTATTATTATTTTCGAGTCGGGCGGTGGCGATTCGAGACTATACCGTTGTTGCAGTTGTGAATTGTGATAATAGGCACGCGCGGACGGCATCATGACGGCTGCGGGTTTGCAATTTCGTTGCCGACGGCTCGTTTAAAATTTTGTCGGAAATGTGCAGTAGGTATATAGTTGGTGACGGTGGTCGATTGCGCGACGCATTATATACATTTATATACATATACACGTATTATATTATGTATTTAAGTATGATATTAATCATATTATATTAATATATTCGCGATAATCCGTAAAAATGTCGTCGCGTTTCGTGTCCTCGAGGCGAGCGGTTATTGCGCGTCTTAACCGTGATGCGGACGTTCCGGTCCAATCGATTATAATACTTTAATAACCGTTCGGCGGTCTCGTACCTATATATACCTACTCGGCTGGGCAAACGGTTATTTTTCCTTTAATATACCTACATTTATAAAATATATCCGAACCAGAAAATACGTGTTTCTAAATTAATATAACGACGGTACGACGACGGACGAATATCCCTCGAACAAACACACCGGTGGGAAATATTTACAAAAGGCATTTTATGTATAGGTATAAACATAATAATAATCATCTCTTTTAATGGTAACGGTTTTGAAATTGTCGTCTATAAGCCGCGAGGTATTATATTATATATATATATATATGAAGAGTGATCCACGCTTTATTCCGTCTATATACCTACTCTATATAATATGTCTACGGCGACCTGCGATTATTTCTGAAAATATAATATAAACGATGTGTTTAATTTGATTTTTTTTTTTAAATATTTATCATAATATTATAATATGGAATGGTATATGTAGTATTATGTAAAACTCTTTCATATTAATACCTATATTTTAACCGCAGTTATCCTACCGTCATCCTATAGGTAAGCGTATAGCTTATTATTATATTATTATCGATTGAAACAAACCCGACGTTTTCAGAAATAATCACCGGTTCTCCGAATGATTGAAAAAGTAATATAAACAAAATTTCCGTAATATAAGCCTGATCGCCCAACATAAAAAATTACGACGTTACGTTATAGGAGTTTATAATGTTATATCATTAATTCTCGTGGAGTACGAAAAAGTAAAGTCATTGATTTAGGTATACAAGGGTGGACCTTAGTCATATATAGACGATTTTTTCAGACTTTTCCCCTTTAAGTGCGTTTTCAAGATGAAAAAAAAGTGTATACAAAATTGTTTGTCGATTGGTTAGGTCAAACCTGTACCCCCTTGCTCTTAAAGTTCTAAAACTTGTTTTGTTCGAATAACCATAGTTTTCGGATTAATATCTCGTTATACAATCGTTTGAAGTTATTGGTATACAATATATATTTTTCTTACTTTAAAATACTCTAACAAATCAGCACAATAATAGTATAATACATAATGATGTATTGTATGTACATCATCATAGCAACCCTTCAAATTTAGATATTATGTGTAACTTGAGCCAGGAGCTATACCCTTTCCCAATAATGTCACTATTATAGGCTTGGATTATTACTTATTATTAATAGAATATATATTATATATATTATAACATTGAAGACCATTTAAATTTTAAGAAATAGGCGTGTACAGATTCAATTTTCATTTGACAAAAAATATTCTAATTGATGATTAAAAGTGCAGAGATAGAGTTATATTTGTATACACTAGCTGTTGGATATGTGTTTATTATGTAATATTCGGTATAGTAAGAAGATAAGTAGGAAATTTCGATGTGTCATAATTACAATTATTTATTATTTAGGTACTTTGATATTGCTGGAAGCTACAGTAGTATACGATGGGTTAGGTTTATCGTGAAAGGAGGGAGACTTGAAAGGGGTACCGCGAGTTTTTCATAAGGATTATGATGGTTTGGATAGTTATTTTTTGGCGCTTGAGGAGAGATTTATAGTTTAAACATCCCTTGAAACGTAGGTGCATGGCATTATTTATAGCAAATTAAATTTACTAAGATTCCTATTCTATACCGTTTTCTGCTTAAAAAAATATTTTCAATAATATTTGATGACGATGCATAAAAGTGCATAAATAACGTAACATCATAAATAAAAACAATGTTTATTTCAAAGCTCCTAAATTATATCATTGTATATTATTAAATATGAATATCATATTATACTTAAAATAGTGAATTGTGGAAAATTGTCATCTTGGTTTTATCATATCCATTATAATATTACATGTTATTTATCGTTGTCGTTTTTGGGTTTCTGCAGGACGTGGGTTGCCAGGAAGCCTGTTCGTTCCATGACTGGCACGGAGGGTCGCAACACAGCCCCGTGGTGGAGGCCCGAGGCGAACGGGCGCTGACCATCGAATCTGGTACGCTACGTTGGCCTCGGCCAGCTGACCTGCTATCGCCGTCCGCTCAACGTCTCGTGTACGTGATTATGAGGCGCCGGGACCCGGGAACCAGACGCACGTGGTCCCAACTGGGTCAGACACCCGGGTACAAGGCGCGGCTGCCCAAAACGACTGCACCATGGACGGTCCGCGTGCTCGCAGTCTCGGCAGAGGGTCTGGTGACCATCTTCAGCCCGGCCCCGGTCACCGCCACGTCTGTCCCACGGGTTCCTGTTGAATCCGTGGCCGCTAGGGCTGCGGCGTCCGCCGCCTCACCACAGCTGGAGCTCGCAGCCACCCCACCACCCACACTGTCATCCCCCACAGCTGCTGCCGTTTTGCACGACCTCCGCGACGCCGACATTATCATCAGGAGCCTTGGCCGAGACCAGATTCTCGGTATCCGGTTGCCGTTGGCCGCCAGGTCGGCGCCCCAGGAAGAGTCTCTCCGCCTCATGGTGAGTAGAATTTATCATGGTCATCTTTCACTATATATCTATACTTATAATATTTACATATTCGAGTGTTACGCGTGCTCTTCGACTTTTGGTTTGGGAATTCCGCAGACGATTCGACGATCTGCGTAGGTGGACATTTGCAAAAATGTTCGTGATGGCTTAGGGGTATTTTTTTTTATTTCGCACTTGTTGACGACCGAGAATTTCCATAACGTTCGGTATTCTGTGTACGCCTCGAGTAACAAATCGAGAGAGCGCGTTGCGTATATATATGGAAATATTTACGATTTATCAAAAACGTCTAGGTATATATAGTGTCAGTTGGAACGAAAAAAAGAAAATAAGCCAAAAATTACCCTTCGCTGTGTGGCGGTCTGTGCTTTGCATAATTTAGTAGTATATATAATATTATATAGAGCTTACCTAACGTCGCGAAAAGGACGTGGATTGATGAGATGAGCGAGAGATCCACGCGACGACGACGGTATACAGTCCATCAGAATCTCTCTCTCGGATTGATGATGACTTACTCTGCGCGTGGTTGCTCGTCGTATATTATACAATATATAATATACGTCATGTACATGCGATGATATACCTATATACATCGTCATATACATATGTGTGTCCTAAAGGAAAATATGAATATTTGTTACGCGGGGCACGTTGCACGGCCCCGAGAGGGTTCTCCGCTGTCGTTTCGCTCTCACGCACGCACACGCTTACCGTATAAGACGAATAATAATAATAATAATAACAATAAAAAACGAAAACCAAATAAACCCGCGACCACTTGCCTGCCCCTCAAGACGACCATCCGCACGACGTGTTTGCGATCGATTTCCCGCGCGGATTCATTCGTTTGACATTTTTTTTTCTTTGACGAGTATATATACCTACGGGCTACATACGGTCCAAAATTTGGTCGTTATTTTCGTTATTATTTTCCACTCTATGCGTGCGACATAAAAACCCAACTATATTGTACATTATATTCACGGTCGTAGGTAGGTACTTACATATACGCGTACTTATGTACCTATACCTATGTGTGCGAGTGTATTACACCAAAATATTTTTGTCATCTCATTGTGTGTTCCGTTATGATGATGATAATAATAATATAATAATAGATACGCGTTTTAACGAACCAGAAAATTACGATTGTATAATATAGTATACGAGCGCGGAGGTGTTTTTTTTTTGTTTTGTTTGGCACGCAGCTCGTTAAAACGACGAAACAATAATCAGTATACATCAAACCCGTTGTTTTTTTGTTCTCAAATCCTAACGACGAAATCGTCTCCGCGGACGACAATATAACTACAGTATTTTAGTGCACAGGGCCCGGCCAAGGCAGCCTCGCCGAAAGCTATCAATTAAGGTGTGACAGTAATAAACAATACATTAACTATACAACCATATATCTATAATATTGCATTATATAGTGAACCACCTCCTATAGTGAGGAATACCACGACGTGTCAAAAGTGTGAGATTAAAAAACAAATATAAGACGTAGTAATCAATATTGATCGATGATCGTGTTATCAATAAAATCGTAAATCGAAAAAAAAAACAATATTTTATTTTACTCGGACAAGCCTAAATTATTGTTTTCGTCGTTTCCCATACGATAGTATATATGTATATATGTTTTATAAATAATAATATTATATGCTATGTATTATTGTCACATAAAGTGCTTGTTGCTGATAAATACCTGGGGCTAGTAAAAATAATAAATATCGTCATGTATATCATAACATTCATATTTCATAACCCTAAGGTACAACAAATTTATAAACGAATTATCTGTTTTCATTTATCAAGTATAGCAATTATAAGTAAGTTTTAGGTGGTGCTGACATTTCAAAAATTGTGTGACTCTACATTTTTGAGAATTATTAGTAATTATTTGCTTTTTATATTCAGAGTTTGAAGATTGAAAAATAATGATTTAAGGATTATTTTATAGAAATTCACAATAAATAATTAACTATATGGTTTTACTAAAATGATGTAGATACACTAAATTAATTAGTAAAATATGATTTTCTAAACCTATTATTTCAAAGTTAACACTATAAATATGCAGACAATGTAATTCATGTGAATAACTTTTAAATCATATAAATTATAAGTAAATCAAAGTGAGGGGGGGGGGGCAACGGGAACCTGTCTAAGCCCTCACATAAAAAACCATATGTTTTGTACCGCGGTTATAACCTCTGAGGATTGTATGTTTTAATAATTGATGACATCATCATTATATATTACGAGTGATCCGACGGATGACATATTATATTATAACATAAGTCCAACGTCTGCACCGCTACAACAGTGGTCGGTACGAAATCAAAGGACCGTCGCCGTGCCGGGGAAAAAAGCCTCTCCAGAGTTTTTCACGCGAACAGGAAAATCGTTTGAAACATGATACCTTGTGATAAGATTATTATTGTTCGAACGCCATGTCGACTTCGTCACCGCCGCCTGTGATCGTATAATAATACAATACGTCATAATATAATATAATACGCCGCGCGGAGGAGAATAAATTATGTTCGTAAAACGCGGGCGGACCTCTTGTCAACTTTGCGCTGTGGCCCCGGGACAATAAAAACGGTAAATTGAGCTGTAAATTTTAATAATAATAATAACGATAATAAAAATCGTCTGTAAACGGCGACGGTAAAGTATCGAGCGTAACGACTTTGTTACGTCGTCGGCACCTCTAATATTATATATTTATTTTATATTAGTAGGTGTATAATATTATTATATTTAGGTATTCTATATTATTAAGATTATTGTATTTTCACCTTCTCCTAGATCGCAATGATTCCCCGCGTGCAAGAACAATATTATCGTCCAGTACAAAAAATAGTAATAATAAAATATTATATCCTCTTGAATTAATTCGCTCTATGCCGGTGCGATACACACACACACACACACACACATATATATATATATAATAATATTATATACGTCTAATAATGTCGGCCGCCGCGTGATTTCGTTGTGATAATATGGTAAAATAATATATATATAATACTATTATTATTATTGTTGCTGTTATTATTTTAGTAGTTGTTTACTCTCGCCCGTGCCGGCTGTTGCGGGAAAATGAATAGGCTCTTCCGCGTATAATATATTTGTATAATATAATACACCCATAGTTGCGCGTGAGAAACTCGACACCTGCGATACGCGCCAGCGTCAACGCTGCCTCTGCCGACCGATAATAATATTAATAATTGGCTCGGTCTCTCGCCCGGTTCACTCGAGTGCGCCTCCCCCGTCGTCGCCTTGCAGTATATATACATGTTAGGTATAATGCTTTACTCGCGTATAATATTATAATAATAATAATAGTAATAATAATAATAGTAATAATAATAATGGTAGGTAATATTAATATTGAGCCCGCGCGCGTACATTAATCTAATTAAATCACACACGTCCCGTCTTAAACGTGTGCGCAACATAGGTAATACGCGTTCGAAATTTGTAATCATCGCGAGCGCGTCTCGCCGAGGCGGTCGTGTTCAGCTCTATAACATATAGTTAGATAGGTGTGTAATTATTGTTGCCTATGACGGGTAAAAATAGTGATCATTTTTTTCTGGATATCTGTCGAATTAAAATATCCGATCGCGTTTTCGTTTCAGACGCTGCTAATCGTAGGTTTCGCCATCGCCCGACAAATAATGTTGTGTACATATTATTATATACTTAGAACTCACAGTAATATAATATTATGGTATATACCTGCATCGATTTAAATTTAGACCGCGTACCTCAAGTTGTACCTATATGCTGCACCCAACCGAAAATCGTTTTTTCCTGACTTCCCAGTGTGACTATTAACATACCAATATATTATTATTATACACATTAGTTCAGGTGGGAACTCTGTGCTGCAAATTTCTTACGAATCCCTTTCGATGGTTTTCACAGTGCCTTTTCCGTTTTTGTAGTGGCGTCCCTTTAATATTATATTAGCCTATGGTATCTGATAACAATGTATATATACATATATTATATAGTAAGGTAACACTTTTTAATCGAAGAAATAATCGCATGCTATTTAATTACGTACAGTTAACGAGATCCCAGAGGGGGGGAGCAATGGCCACTGCCAATGGCGACCACCAAGTGTTGGTCATGCTGAATAGCTGAACCCGCTAAATCTGTGCTGGATCATGAGTACTATAATGATAATGTGTAAAAAACGAAGATTGCACTTTTTGGCCTTTTTTTTTCTTGTTCACTCGTACCGCGGGGAAAAAAAATAATACACAATAACAATAACACGTCCGGCGGCGTAGACGACCTTCGTATATACGATGAGTGCTCCCCGACGATCCTCCGCGGCGATTTCGACGGGCGCCACTTCGGTCGGCCGCCAAATACGCCTGTTATCTGATCGGACGAGGGTGAGAGAAAAATAAAACGCGTCAACGGGCCGGTTATTGATTACGATTTTTTATACATATACAGAAATATTATATATTATATTGTATAGATACTATGGTATAATATCTTCAACCGACACCCACGCACGCACGCATGCCACCCCCACCCGCTTGCTCAAACACTTTTGTATCCCATTAAAATATGTCTCGGGCGGTCGAAAAACATTTTACGATAACTCATTAAATCCCTCCGATCGTATAAAATATGTGTTTGTGCGCCTGTATACGAAGAAGATAATATTCTGAAGAAAAAAACCGTTTACAATACCGTAAAAGAACGATGAAAAGAATGTATTATATAAAATATATTATTATCACTCTCCCTAACTCCCTTGTAAAATGTAAATAATAATAAATATTCGGCCAGAAATAACGATTCGGCATCTCGTATGCTGCATGCATGTTAAACGAAGCGGAGCTGAGGAAAATATGTGAATTTCAGTTTCAATAAGAATACGTCCATTAAAATTCCATCAAGTTTTGAGTAAATGTTCATCGCTCTTTATTCGAATCGTGACAGTTGTCACCGAAATATATTTTGATGAAATCGTTTTTCGCGTTCGTTTTATATATAAAAATATGTTTTTGTCATCGTATTATGAAACCTGCAGCTAACCGTTATTGCGAATTCTTGATTTTGTTTCCTTTCGAGAATACTCACTCACAATTATAATTATCTGAAAATTATTTACAAAAGAATAAAAAGTCAATATTTCAATCGTACTATATAATAGTTGCAAGAAGCAAAACAAAAACTTAACAGCCGTAAAAAGCTTAAGGTTCGACCAACGTTTATGTTGTACGCGTCCAGCACTCAACGTCGCATTATATTTATTTTGTTATTTCGACGTTGACTTTACTGGTCGCGTGCTCCATATTATTATAATACTACTTGGTTTTTCGCAGCTTTTATAAATTCAACAAGTATAATATAAAATACATAATTATAACGATATTATTATTATATTATATTACACGCGCTGCGTAGTATTTACGTTGCGATAACAATAACAACGAAAAATTGTTGACGTGGCATTTGAAATCCAAAAATGTTTTTGCTCGGAATTAGTTATAACTATTGTGAGTTATTTTTATTATTATACATTTATACGTTATAGTGTACGTGTGAGAACACACGCGCACGAAACCCGCCATTGATTTCGTTTACCGACAGTACCTCTACCACCTCTACCACCTTTTCACCCACGTCCCTGTACGAATTCGAAACTACCCAGGACGTTTCGGCAGTACAATGCAGTCGATGTTTTATTCATATCCTATCAACTTTCCCGAGTATTATTATTTATTATTATTATTATTATTATTATTATTACCTTCATAAAAAATGCTGCAGGCGACATGGATTTTGGCAATTTGAACCGTTTGGGAATACATTTGCCAGGACCGCGGTGTCAGAGGTCCTCTGACTTTTACGTTTTGGAGTAAGGGTCTTTGGAGACGTAGCTCCGAGTGGTGATGGTGCGGGTAGAAGTCTCACCGATGTTTTTTTGTGATTCAATAACATTTAACGACTCTTCGTTTTACGAGTCCAGAAACTGTATAATAAAATCACCAATATAAACCTAGTGTGTGTGTGTGTGTGTGTGTGTGTGTGTGTGTGTGTGTGTGTGTGTGTGTGTGTGTGTGTGTGAGTGTATACTAAATGTAATATTCTGCAGTCGATATACATGTTACCACGTCAAAATCTCACGCACAAAATCAATTTGAATCCGTCTGAAGGTTAGGTTTTCAATAATAAGTAATTACAAACTAAAAATAAGTTATAGTGAACAGCTGGTTAACGTGATTCACCTTTAATATGCCATATTAATCACTGATTTAAAGTAAGGGTTAATTGGCGTAAGACAAAAAACAATTCAGAATTAATGATAATGTTTTCAATCAGTATTTTGCGTACGACCCTTTTAATCGAAACGAATAGTTTATAGTACATATATATATAGCGTGGTAACGTCTGGTTAGGTACCGTATATACCAACGTCTTACATTTACGCAAGTCTCAAATTGTGTATAACAAGATTCGCTGTCCTGAATATCGATTGCAGTCCTGTACAATAATATATATAATTTATATATGTTTTATTCCCGTTTTTGTTAAACATCATCCACTATAATATATAGAAATAACTGTCTTGTAGTAGGTATACCTATAGCCATTATATTAGTTTCACTACCTAGCTAATCTTGTATTTTGTACATCTCACATAGGCTTGTACAGAAATGTTTCTAAGGGTGAAGCGGTCATCACTTTGTATATATTATAAATAATATAATATGAAACATGTAGCTATTTCACATGTCTGATTTTAAAAATCAAAGTGGGAGGATTGTCCCATATTGTCCCTTCTTTTCTTTTATTACTCACAACTCAAACAATTATTTAAGAAACGAGCCTCTCACAGTTTCACGAAGTTCGCTGATTCAATACCCGCCATTCTTTCCCATTTTAAGTTTTTAATCTTGTAAATTGTTATATTAAATTATTGTTAGTAGACGATATGTACATATCTGTATGTCTTGGGCTTACTTTCGTTATTATATACTTGAAATATAAATAAGTTTATAACTATATTTTCATTTTGCAGGGCGATGACGACCCATCGGACACAACTGAAATGTGGAACCTGCGCGAAGTGTCGATGATCCATCAAAAGGTGTTGGTGATCGCTGAGGTGGCGTGGGACGCCCGGCAAGTCCACCGTCCCGCTTACCTGGTCACGTGGGAGATCGACGGCGGTGGCCTGAAAGGCAACCTGTTCACGGACACCACGTGCGTCACTCTGTCCCTGTGGCCAGACACCGCATACCTCATACAGGTCAGTTGTAAACCATCGAGCACAATCGTGAGTTAATTGCGAGCGCCTCACAATGATGACAGTGACGATAACATAATGATAATAATAATATAATCCGTGCGCTTGAGTACCGGCTGTCGTGTCGTTATATCTGTTGTTATTACATAATATAGCGTACGAAAGATATACAATATATATATTATGTATATTATATACCAAGTCCGTTTTACTTTACAATATGTACCTATATATTATGTACACAGGACATAAGGTATAGGGACGTTAGGAAAAACGAGACGACGGTCGTGATAATATAATATGAAGACATTTTCTGTTTCAAAACTTTAAAATTTAAATACCCACCACCGTTTACCGTAATCGTTTTTACGGCTTTCTGTGTATATATTATATTAAAACGTATTTTATATTAGCATTGCAAATATAAACGAAATTGTCTCTATACTACTCGCGTATAATAGGTGTCCCGGACTGTATATATATATGTATATATACACTCGAATCGTGGTGTTGGAATATTTAATATTTATAATATATATATATATATATATATTATATTTAAAGCTACAAAGATGAGTAGGATTCTTGAAAGTGAATTTAAAATTATGTTTGAATTCGGTTTAAATTAACCGATTCTGTAACGTCGACCTAGTGTCAAAATGAGTTTACTGCCGAGTTCACGTTTCGAAGATTTAATGTATCGCGATTATCACAGCCGCTGTATAGGTAGTATAGGTACCTACTGCTAAAACTCTCCAACGGCGATTCTTATTTCTAAGACACAGATTGCACAAGTCTTGGTGTAGAATTTCGCGCTTCGCGTTTTTCCTCATGATTTTTGAAAATATAACGTATTTATATATATTATACATTTGCGAAGTCGAACCAGTGCGTATTGTTATAGAATATCTAAACGAACGATCATTAACAGTAAACGCACACACCGCTTCCGGGTGTGGGGGTGAGCGGCGACTATATTGACGTTATTTTACATACACACATACACAATACACGTCCCGTAAAAGCCGGAAGTGGAGGTTTACCAGATGCCTCGTGGTACAGTGGGTGTTTAGGGGTCGTGAATAGACTAGCCTCCGAGTGTACCACATACTGAAAATGCACGTCATTATCACTATTTAACGACTATAATACATGACTATGACGACGGCGAAGAGGGCGCACTACATGCCGCGTTTGTTTGGGAGGCTATTGTCAGCGACGACGACCAGATAAAAAGATATTTACCGGAAAGAGTTAATCGATGGCGACGACGGCGGCGGCCACGCGACCGACTGACACAGGATATCGGCGGCGGGGCACCCCGGTCACGAACGGTTCACCACCCAAAGGCCATAATAATAATAAATCGTCCGATAGTTCCGACGGTTATGATAGTGCGTATATGCTGTACAAGTGGGTACCTAGACGTATTTATAATATTATGATACGAACTATATAATATTTCGACGGAGAAAGAAAATATAATAAAGACTAAAAGGAGGAGATGAGAAAAAAAATCACAGAAACATAGCTTGGAGAACAATTTATTTACGTCTTATATAATATTATATAATATATATAATTCTTTCTGGTGGCGGCTGATAAGAATGAGAACCGTATATTACATTCTACTATATACTCACTGTATATAATAATAATAATAATAATACGATATGAGATACAATATTATATTATGTGCAGCACTACGTATATATTGCCACGTATATACGAAACATTGTATTATATTATGACCCGCATATAAAAAGCAATTGCCAGTGATAACGCGCCCAAACACGCTCTATATTATTACTATATATATTGTGGGCCGCCGAGTATACACACACATAGTCTTTAAAACGCGTATGTAGTAGTGCAGCCTCGGGTTCGCGAATATTCAACTTTATATGCTATTATTATTATTATTATTATTATTATGCGTATATGGGACATCGCGTTTCGATTCGGGACCGAAAAAAAAAACCACTTAACGGTTTCCGGCGGCGGCGCGTTCCGACCGATTTTCGACCGGGCTGCTGCAGGACATGACGATTTCGAATCGACGCCGACGGGATAATATTGAATTATTATACATAGCCGTCACGACATCGTTGTGTATAATATGCGTACTTTTATATTTTACAGAACTTCGGCGGTACCTATAATCATAATACATATGTATATAAATATAATGTGATGGACTATTCGACTGAATGTGTTATTATTGAAGTAAAAAAATGTAACGTACTGCGCTCACTGCGCCCTTTTATGCGCCTTACCATAAATTATTATTATAATATAATATTAAATAGATAATATATTTTAGGTACGTCGCGTAAACTCGATTTATTATTCAAAGCCGACCGCGGACTCCGGTAAAACACGAGCGCGTTATCGATTTCCGTGTTATACGGTTGAATGCTGCATGATCCCATTAAACTATAGTGACGTTCAAGTGGTTTGTCCTACGACTCGATTAAAAGATTTCACATAATATCATAGTTACTAAGAGTATGAAAATTTAGTTTGCAAGCCCTTCAATGTTGATCCAAAAACTGAAGGAGAAGAGGACATTTTGTGACCGGTTTGGAAATTCTGGCTAAACGCATCGAAGGACTGCGTGAAGTTTATGCGAAAATCTTTGATATCTCCCATAATTTTCACTTCAAAATCTAAAATAATAGACTAGCACATTTTTTCCAACTCTGAACATATTTTTTTAAACCTCAAAACGAGGGGTCAACTTAATGAACGTAAAAAAATTAATTCCCTGACATTCTACCTAGCTGGTAGTATGGACTGTGTTTTCAGAAGACAATCGATTTTTTATAGTAAAAACATTAAGTATAAAGTGAATAAGTTTTCTAATTTTGAAAGTTATAGGTTAGTTCAAAATACATCAATAGTGACAATATCGGTATTTACCGGGGACCAAACTTTGTCCTCTATTATAATATAACATCGATTGTATTTTGCGTGTATCCTTGCGTCTACTCAGTTAAACAATATTATTGAAGTCACTCGCGGCAGTCGTACAAAAGGAGCGATTTGTCATTTTCAAAGACGACGAGACGACGAAACGAAACACGCGTGATGGAAACAAAAGGTGATAATGACGCATCAGATATTATGAAGATATGGAGATAACATTGTCATGACGCTAGGACGTGTGTAATTATTAGAGTGCCCCGTCGAAACATCACATTAATTATACACACGTAATAAGTACATAATAATAATATTATTATTGTTGTATTAAACAGCCCGTACGTTATTAATTGTCGGTAACAAAATGCATTTAAATGCGAATCCCCGCCTCCACAGGCAGCATATACCTATATTATAATAATATTAAATTTCAAGAGACGGATGACCCACCGGCGCGCGATGTATTTTTTTGATAACTTCAAACGCGAAGCTTCTTCACTCCCGTCGTCGGAGCAATATAGTAGGTAATAATAATAATTATCGTTATTATTTTAATACGAACGTTTCCTCGGCGCATTAACCATACTATATATTTACGCATAATATTATAGGTATACGCGTATAACATGTATATTGCAGTACGCTACTATTACTCCTCCTCCGCTTCGACGTGTGATATTCCGAAAACTTGTTTTCTCATTTCAACGTTCTCGTCACGCACGCAAACCTATGCCTACAAGACGTCTACGACCGTCGTATATACATCATGCGTGAGTTTTGTACAAACGGTTGCCTAAAAAAATGTTTTAATAATAAAATATACGTATAGCTAGGTGCAGTATACCGCGGTAGATATTATAACTCTGCGCTGTTCGCGTACATATTATACACTTTGACGATGTGCTTTATTTTTTCTTCCGTTTACGCAGAGTGAAATCCACTGACGTCGGACTGTCCGAGGCCGACAGCGCATGCAGGCTGCTATAGATCATGTCGACGAGCGCGGTTACAACAATAATTAAACGCCATTATTAAATTGTAGATTTGTCCGAGTGCGGTAAATCAATCGGATAATAACAGGTTGGCCGACGGACGGGAAATCGTCGATCGCACGACGAATGCAACACGTGTGTGCCCGCTCCGTAGGTGGTATATACCGATATGGACAAATTATTAGGAGAATGGATTTATAAAAAGCCCGCTATCATAGGTTCAACGAGTATAATGTACATAATATACTATATGGTGTCGTTTACGGCCGAGATGTTGACGAGTAAAATATATTATAGTGTATCACCGCAAATATATAACTGTATACATATATATTATATAGTAATAATTTATCTAGTATAAAAATCAGATTTTGTTTTATGTGAATAAATTGTCACATTGTTAGAGCTAATAGACATAAAAATGATAACTCATTTAATTGTTCAAATTTCCAAGTTCATATTAGGAGCTTATACACACTATAAGTATAAGTCAAAAATAAGCAAATAATATTTATTTATTTGTAAATATAACAACGTACAACTTATCAATATTACATTGAAATTAACAATTAAAATCTCCCCAATAAGCATATTATCTGAATATGCATAAAAAAAATAATACATAATACTTTGCGTGTTATATTTATTATGTATACAATTTTAGAATAGGAACTTGGAAAATGGTATTCATGTTTTTAAAGATGTACAAATTGTAATGATTTATTGATTATTTAATTTAATTAACTATGGATTACATTGAAATTACATTACAATATATTGCATATATTACATTATAAATATTGCATCAATATTGTATAGTTTGTTCAAAAATTGATAAATTTATCCTGCCGATCGTTTGAGTGTCTTAGACTCGAAGTAATTTAATAATCAGTTATAATCAAAAATGTTATCACGCTTTTAGCCAAATTCAAATCTTTATGATTTTTTTCAAGATATTTATGAAATAATATGCAATTTAATCTTTTACGCATTCGTCTATAAATGTGTGACTTGTGTTGCTTGTTGCTCAAATATGCAAGAGTTTGTAAACCTAAAATAAAAAACGTCATCGCAGAATCTACATGC